TTTTTTTGTTGATTTGCTTTGTTTTGTTTTTTTGAATGTCCAGAGGACCAGATTTAACTTTTTTAGACCTTAAATTATAGTTCAGGCAAATGTCACATTCCCATGGACATATACCGTAGCTATACTGCAGCCAGCCTGGGGCTCTTGTTTCTGATTCAACTTCCAAGTTATGTCTCTGTAACTTGTTCTATGTCAATCATTGGCATCAGAAACATTTGTAATGTTTGGGGGACACACTGATGTGTGTGTGTGTGGGGTGTGTCTGAGGGGTCGGCCTTGGCAGAGAGCATGGCACAAGAAGTAGTCTGACCAACAGCTCTCCTTGTGTGAATAGAGCGCACACTGCTTCTTCCAAGCATCTTACCCACACCCCAACCCATGCGTCGAAAACTGCTGTAACTATTCATCCATTAGCTTTTACCCGCTTCTTCCTTTTTGGGTCGTGGGGGGTCACTGGTGCCCATATCCAACCATCACTGTGTGAGAGGTGGGGGACACCCTGGACAGGTCTCCAGTCCATCACAGGGCCACATAGAGACAAATGAGACAAAGAGCCATTCACTCTCTCTCTCACCTAGGGACAATTTTGAGTCACCAGTCAGTCTAACATGCATGTTTTTGGTCTATGGGAGGAAACCAGAGTACCCGGAGAAAACCCTTGCAGCATGGAGAGAACATGCAAACTCCACCCAGAAAGGCCCCCGGACCGAGATTTGAACCAGGGTAACCTGCTCGCTGAGAGGCAGCAGCTCTACCAGTTGTGCCACCGTGCTGCCCCTGCCAGAACCATTGTAGCGCTAAGGTAGCGGCACGCAATACAGACGCGTAAGCTAAGATGCTACAGACGTAGTGCTCCTCTTCTCTCACACATCCTAACACCCCCACTCCCAAAAACAACTGCCAGCACTAACGTGGCGCTAAGCCAGCACACAAAACAGAGGTGTCTTCCCTTCCTCCCCCTGTGAGCGTCCTTCCAAGGCAGATGACTGAGGAGAATCACTGCATATGCCGTGAAGTTGTTTTAGGTAACCAGGAAAACCAGGAGTGGACTTTTAATGGTCTGAGTATTCTCCTATTAATCAAGTGGAATGGATTTGTTCATAAAGAAACAGAAACAGCGTTGAGTTAACTAATATTTCAGGGTAAATGTGTGTGTGTGTGTGTGTGTGTGTGTGTGTGGGGGGGGGGGGGGGGGGGTTCGAATTAATATTTTTTAAATGTGGGGGAGACGCGTCCCCTTCACATATAAATGTTGCAACGCCTATGATATCAATGCTATATTTAGCCTGGAGCAACTTTGAACATTGACCTTTTTTATTGAACTGATGTGCTCTGGATATATTTATTATTTACCTTTTTAGTTTTAACCTTGGTGTTCCAAATGCAGACTGTGTACAACAAATTCAGTTTTTAAACAACTGAAACCCCAAACTTACTCGGCTTGCAAGGGATGGGCTGCAACGGCAGTGCCATCGGGGAATCAGAGTTGACAGGGAGGGGCTGGGTGTTTGGGTGAAAGGCTGGGATCATCACATAGGGCATGTTCACCTGCTGGAACAAAACAGGACAAGGGACAACTTACAGAGTGTTTCAACAATTATTTCCTACAACAGTCCAACATGCCGACCTACACAGATAACTCCTCATTGGTAACGGTCATCCTGTGATATATGACGACAGCTAAAGCTCTTGAGAGCAGCTGACCTGAATCTGCTGTTGAAGATGGTTGATCTTATGCTGCTGCTGGATCAGCTGCTGCTGCTGCTTAGCAATCTGAGACACAAGGCATGTTCATTAGATGTTATAAGCACAAGGAGACACAAAGCCCACAGTGAACGGTTAGAACAATGAAGAACACGTTAAAGAATCAGAATCACTTTTATTGGCCAAGTTTGTGTGCACAGACAAGGAATTTGACTTAAAGTGTAAAATGACAAAAACATAAAGGACAAAGGAACAGTTCAGAATTTTTGAAGTGGGTTTCTATTAACAGTGTGAATGAATATAAATCATTCACACTATTGTGATCCATTTTTCTTCTGTATGTTTTTCGGCATCTTTCTCGTTCTACAATTTTTGTGCTATTTCAACAAATCATATATCAAACCATTCAGCTCTTTCAGGACAATCTTGCTATGACTTCTGGTATTGGTGCAACTTCAGCTTTTTGAAATATTTGCTGCCAGTTTTTCCACATAGAAATGAATTGAGCTCATTTTACATCCTTCAAATGTTTAGATCTGTATAAGTGCTATATGTTGTCATCATTGTATGTTTCTACAATGATGAAACTGGTTCTCTGCATTAAACCCATCGTGCTTGGCATACACCCATGTGGAGCAGCTACTCCACAGCAGCTACTGAGTGCCCATTAAAGAAAAGATTGGGTGCCTTGCTCAGAGACACCATGACATGTGGGAGTGGCTGGGAGTCGAGCCATGACTTTCTGGTTCTAGGTCGGCTGTCCTGCCTCTGCTCCATCTTCAGAAGAATCAGAATCAGAAAAAGCTTTATTATCATTGCACCACGATACAACGAAAACGTACGTACAGCCGTTTGAAAGATGGACGGAGTGCACGAAGCTGCTGCTATAAAGCGCGGCCTTCTTATTCTTATTCAGAATAACATTTTTTAGATTAAAAAAAGGGACAAAGCCATGAGGCCCCCGTTTACAACCTTTAAATGCTCCTTTCACATTTTGTTTTGGTTCAGCTTCTTTCAGCTTCCTTGTGCAATTTTTTAACTTTTTTCAGCTACTTTCAGCTACTTTCAGCTGTTTTTCAGCTGTTTTTCAGCTGTTTTGTGCTCCTTTCAGATTCTTTCTGCTAACTACAACATTTTTTCATTCAACCTTTATTTATACAGGTTAGTTTCATTGAGCCTCGAGGACTCATTTACAAGACGGACCTGATTTAAACAAAGAATGATGACAACAGTAGAGGACAATGACAACAGTAGACAATCTTAAAAGAAGGCATATAAATTGAAAAAAAAGGAAGAAAATTATATAAAAAAAACCAGCTACATTATAAGGTAATTTAATTTTGTCATGAACGTAACAGTTGTTTGAAGCCACTTAGAGAGGACTTAGAGATTTGTGTGTTTCTTCTAACTTCTTTCTGGTAAGTTCAGTTATGCTGTTCTTATGCTCTTTTCAGCTCATTTATGCAAGTTGCAGCTTTTTCTGCTACAGTATTTCAGCCACTCGTTAGCTTTTTTATGCTAATTTTAGCATTTTCAGCTAATTCCACATTTTTGCACTTTTCAACTTTTTTCAGATTACCGTAATTGCTAGGCTACATAACGCACCTGACTCTAAGCTGTGCATACTAAATTTACGATAAAACATAATTTTGTACATAAATAAGAAGCTCTGTTATTAAGCCGCAGATATCCACGTTTCATTATCATGATCTGTGCCCAGCTCCTGGCATTATGTGCAGCTCTTGTTGTAGTACAAGATTCAACCACCGGATGGCGTTTCATAGACTATGGCTTGGTGATCATCATAAGTTTTCATGATGCTTCGCTGTATGACTCATGGTTAAAACCATTTACCCTACAAAATGGACACATTCATTCATTCAACTTTTATTTATACAGGCTAGGCTCATTGAGCCACAAGGACTTATTTACAAGAGAGACATGTTCCAGACAAAACGTATAAAAGTACAGACACAAGACAGTACAACCAGGGATGGAAATTATCCGCTTCGTCTAACAGCTCCACACCGGTCGCTGAGTGGACTAGAACCGAGTCGATGCCGGACTTTACTCCGTGATAATCAGCAGCTGATTTACATCAGGTAAATCAAATGTTCTTAATAATGTTAGCTTGTGTTTGCTTTGGTTACAAAACAACCAAGTTTTTATTTTTTTTCCTGAAAGAAGAAGAAGCTGTCCCCCCACCAGGCGGACCGGTTCTGAACGAGGCTCGGCCCAGAAGCACTGCAGGAGGACGTCGAAGAGAGATGTTGGATTAACTATTTATTTAAAATTCTCCTCAGTTCTTTTATTCAATCCATTTAATTCATTCAACCTTTATTTAGACAGGTAAATCCCATTGAGCCTCGAGGACTCATTTACAAGAGAGACCTGATTTCAACAAAGAAAGATGACAACAATGGACAACAGCAACAACAATAAGCAGTTATAAAAAGTCATACTGCAGTTTTTTTTTTTTTTTTTTTACAAATAGGATGGCTAAAAGGAAAAGGTAACAAAAAAGTAATAAAAACAGCTAGATTCTAAGGCGAATGTAGAAACTAAAAACAGGAACATGTCTGCATTGGTCCCTGCCAGGAGTCCAACAGATTCTTAAAGCCACTTAGAGAGGTCAAAGGTCAAGAGCTTCAGATCTTTTTACAAGATATTACAGGAAACAGGAGCGGAGTAGGAGAAGGTCCTTTTGTCTAGTTCAGTCCTCACTGAGGGAACACTGCAGGTAATGATGTCCTGAGAGTGCACGCTGTAGCTGCACTCACGCAGAGACATGTAGGAGGAGATGTATGAAGGCAGCAGACCAGGAAGTGATTTAAAGATGAAAATGTACCAGTGGGAGAGTCTGTGTGAAGTTAATGGTGACCAGTTAACCAGTGAATACTGGGTGCAGTGGTGGGTACGATAATCACAGCCAGTCATGAATCTTAGTGCACCATGATAGACAGCATCCAACATCCTTTAATTTCCTGATCCCGGTTCATTTCCTCATCCATTAATATCCTGATGCATGCTCAATAATCTAGGTAGAAAAATCCAAAAAAGTTCAATCTGGTCCTCTGGACATTCAAACAGTGGCAGGTCCCTGTCCTTATATTCCCTGGTTTCCTTGTTTATTATCTTGATTATTCCCACCCTTGTGTCATCCAGGTGTTTGTGATTGTCACTTTGTTTCTGTATATAAGTCTGTGTCTTTGTGTCACTCATTGTCGGGGCATTGTCTGTGATCGTCTGGTGTTTGTCTCGTCTCCTGGTTTTCCTGGTTCCATAATATTTCCCTCGTTCCTAGGTTATTTTGTATCATTAAAGTATTTTATTTCATTTTACTCCTCGTGCCTCTGAGTCCTGCCTGCAAACTGGGTTCATCTCACAACACCCTTTTTGTTAAATCCTGACAGTATGCCATAACCTTCTAATGAACCCAGCAGGCAGAAGACCCAGAAGAATCGGACGACCCGGTGGCTGAAGGAGATGGCTTCAGCTCTAGAGGAAGCGGCCGTCATCCGTGTGAGCAGGTTCCGGACTGAACCCATCCGGAGATGCCACAGTCCCGAGGTGGAGATCCTTCCGTCTCCACTCTTGGTAGAGGAGGAGGAGGAGAGGAGGAAGCAAATAGACGGCCGCGTAGTTTTTGGGCCGGCTTTTTCTCACGCTCTCCCACGAGCGTGTTCTTTGTGGTCCGCCTCCGACGACGACTCCAAGCCAGAGGAGTTCTGATTCGGTTTTGGTTCCGGCCTGCGTCGCCACCGTCGGAGGAATAAACAACTCAAGAAGGTGATAAATTCCGAGATCCAGCCCCTCCCTCCTTCAGTATCTCCCCGCAAGCTGTCAGAAGAGCCAAGGAGGCTCTCGCAGGGGAGGAGGTCCCGGAGCCCCCGTTCGTCAGAAGAATGAACGGGCTCAGAGTCTGCAGAGAGTTTGGTGTCTGGAGCTCCTATCTCTGCAGATCCCCCTACCACCACAGGGGGCTCCAGTAAAGAGACATCTGATGACATCGCTGATGTGTCTCAACAGCTCCAGAGACTTTTCATGCAGCTACTTTTACCAAAGACTCTGGATCTGGACTCCAACAGGTCCTTCATGATGGAGTAGATATTGAGTTTATATTCAACCTGCTTCAGATCCCGAGTTTCGCCCAAGTGCTGTCTACAAAACAAGATTCCAAAAAAGTTGGGACACTAAACAAATTGTGAATAAAAACTGAATGCAATGATGTGGACATGGCAAATGTCAATATTTTATTCATAATACAACATAGATGACAGATCAAAAGTTTAATTTGAGTACATGTAACATTTTAAAGGAAAAATATGTTGATTCAAAATTTCACAGTGTCAACAAATCCCAAAAAAGTTGGGACAAGTAGCAATAAGTGGCTGGAAAAAGGAAATTGAGCATATAATGAACAGCTGGAAGACCAATTAACACTAATTAGGTCAATTGACAACATGATTGGGTATAAAAAGAGCTTCTCAGAGTGTCAGTGTCTCTCAGAAGCCAAGATGGTAAGAGGATCACCAATTCCACCATTGTTGCGCAGAAAGATAGTGCAGCAATACCAGAATGGTGTTACCCAGCGTAAAATAGCAAAGACTTTTAAGTTATCATCATCAACCGTGCATAACATCATCAAAAGATTCAGAGAATCTGGAACAATCGCTGTGCGTAAGGGTCAAGGCTGTAAAACTCTACTGGATGCTCGTGATCTCCGGGCCCTTAAACGTCACTGCACCTCAAACAGGAATGCCACTGTCAAGGAAATAACAGAATGGGCTCAGGAATACTTCCAGAAAGCATTGTCAGTGAACACAATCCACCGTGCCATCCGCCGTTGCCAGCTGAAACTCTACAGTGCAAAGAAGAAGCCATTTCTAAGCAAGCTCCACAAGCTCAGACGTTTGCACTGGGCCAGGGGTCATTTACAATGGATTGTGGCAAAATGGAAGACTGTTCTGTGGTCAGATGAGTCACGATTTGAAGTTCTTTATGGAACACTGGGACGCCATGTCCTCCGGACCAGAGAGGACAAGGATAGCCCAAATTGTTATCAACGCTCCGTTCAGAAGCCTGCATCACTGATGGTATGGGGTTGCATGAGCGCTTGTGGCATGGGCAGCTTGCATGTCTGGAAAGGCACCATTAATGCAGAGAACTATGTTCAGGTTCTAGAACA